TGAATTGTGTGGATGATTTCATGAAAACATCTAGTCTTGTGTCTATTACAAGGATTTGGTATGTACATACGTGAACTTTCTGCCATATAGGTTATCAAGTAACTCACTGAATCTCCTTCAGTTCTGTGTGCTTAAATCAGTAAAAATGGGCTTTTCTTTGTAGTGTGCCTATGAAAGGTTGTATTGTAAAGCTTCCAGTGGTCACTGCAATGCAATGAAGTGATAGCCTTTCTTACTTGCGGTCTGAAGAAGATGGGTGGTGTTTTCCTTCCAGCAATCACTAGCGGGAGCAGGTAGTCTTGGATGTGCTGCAGCCACTGTTGCCCCCATGCTGGCCAGAAAGAGAGTGCTGTGCTGACAGAGCTGCTGATTCTCCCCTGGTTCACGAAGGAATAATCCATTATAACTGCTGTATGTAGTCTGCTTGATTTTCTCCCTCCAGCTTGTGTGTGGATCACCACAGAGGTGAAGTGTAGAAAGGGAAATGATCCTTGAGCAGAGTGGGAGCAGGGGTCTTGGCAGGTGGAGCTGCCTTCCCAGTGGCATTATGTGGGCAAGCATCTGCATACACTGAGGTTTTGGGACTTCTCATGGCTGGTGAATTTCAAGAGATACAAGGCCATGAAAAAAAGCATGGGTTTCTGTTTGCATAAGTTTAATGAGTCCTTACTAAAGGTTCAGTGCATAGACTCCGACCTGTTTCACTTCAAGTGTCAGGTATGTTTGAACTTTAAGTGAAACATTAGCTAATGCATGTCTGGATTTTTTCCTTCAAGAGGCCCTGAGTCTCCAAATACTTTCTGGGGTGTGAGACTTTACTGAGGTTTTTCATGACTAGATTTTGAGAACTTTTGTGTGCGACACTCGTATTTTCTTAATGCAAGTAGCAAGGCTGGATTCAGTCCATTATGTGAGAAGAAGAATGGGTCTGTATTCCCTGGAGCTAGCTGCCCTTCTGGAGGAGAACTTTAAGGGATGTGTTTACTAAAATGAACTGCTGGCAAATGGAGGTATTCTTCTGTCTGCTTTGGAGAGATGGGGAGTGTGTGTCAAGTCTCAAGCTGCTGAGGAAAAAGAGGGCATAAAAAACTACTTTTTTTTCCCTGCCCCCCCTCCTTTTTTATGACCCCTTTTAAAATTAAATAGGGAAGATAAACTGCTGGAAGTTATACTTGTTCTTCTCAGGTGCAAAAGGGAAAGGCAACAAGCATCTGTATCCTAAATGGACTGAAATCACTAGGTATATTAGAAGTTGTGTTTAGGTGAATACCTTCATATAGTAAGATCACTTTTTCCTTGACTACAAAATCCAGAGCATTTTATCAGGAGTAACAGTTGTTTGGTGAAAAATCACTGCACCTAAAGCATGCTTCTGGACACTGTCCACTTCTGCTCCATCCTTGTGTGAATATTTTGGCAGTGTCCTGTCAACAGGATGTGGAACTGTCAGAGCCATGTTAGACTTCAGTTATTGGAGTTTTGGACGTGTTACGTACAAAATCTAGCTGGTCGTGAAGCACGTGTACATGTGCACAATCTTCCTCCTTTTCTTCTCCTGAGACACAGTTAGTTTATTCTCTTTGAACTTGATCCCAAAGACCAAATACTCTGGATTAAGCACAACATATAATACTGCCTTTTGTTTTTTGCTATTGCTACATTACTTTTCCCATGCTGTTAATCTGGAATTGTTTGGAATAGCCTTAGAGCTAACTAGTTACTCTGTGCTGCTTGGTAGTGCATGTGTCTGCAAAACACATTTTTGATACCTTACTGTGCATGTTATTTCAGTTTTGAAAAAAACAAGCACTGTTCCGATGCAGATTTCAGACTCAAATCCTAGTGTATAAACCCTTCCGTAATCGAGACACACTTCAGTGGAGAATCTCTAAATGGGATGCTTGAATGGTCTGTGGCCAAGTAAATAAATATTTCCTCAGTTTCAAGAAACATGGCACACAGCTGCTCCTCCCTCCTTGTTGCAAAATAACGGGCCATTTGCTGACTGAAGCAAGCTATTGACATTATTGCTAGCAGCTGCTGAACTCTTAGTGTTAACTTAAACAGCTCATAAATGTTAATTATGTTGCAGTTTTGTTAGAGCTCATCTGCATATCCCAGAGGCACTAGCTAATATGTCATGCTTTTTTCCCCACATGAACTGATGACATTTCTCAGTGGAGATTCCAAATAATAACTTCCTAAGTAAGTTCAGTAATTTTACTGCAGGGGTGGAAATTTCTTCAAATCTGCTCTTTTAACTACAGTTTCACTAGTACTGGTATAGCTTTACTTAAATGTGTTTCAGTAGGCTCAGAGCTGCTGTGCATGTGGAGGAATGAGAATGCAGTAGAAGGGAATATGGAGGGTGCTTACTGACCTGTTGTTGGGAGTTCTATGACAAAGTTAAATCCAAAGCCAAACTGAAAAAAATCTGTTATCCCATGCATTGGCTTAAAGACGCTTTCATATTGTTATGGTTTCACTGCTATACAACTGTGAAGAGTTTACAGGAAATGTTTACAGGCTACTGTAAAAATGTGTATTATCTGCATAGTAACCACTTAAATGATATTTTGGGACCTTTTAACAGTCCCTCCCACTCTTCAGCCAGTGTGGATATGTTCTTAATATCAAAGCTCCCAAGCAAAGTAATCCTTTTTTCCCTTCAGGTCAGATTCTGCTAGTGTTCTTTGTAGAAAACACTGGTAAATTTACAGAACCTGTTTTTGAGATGGTCAAAATGATTGTGACTATAGCATGAATGAAAATGTAGATAATTAAATGAAAGCTGCTTTATTATCATGGAAGTTTAATTTTGATTAAACTTAATTTGATTTACATTTTGATTTTAGTCATTGTGAGGGTCAGAAAGAGGATAGTGTTGTTGCTAGTGTGTACTATATAGAAAAGTTGTGCTTGCAGCATCTAAAAGTTGTTCTCTCATCCTTACTTTTTTGTGATCATCCAGTGGACCTTTTTCTCTCAAAGGCAGTGGTATATGTTTGCCAGAACTATACTTTATGCTTAGTGGATGTAGTCCCTAACAAACAAGTTGGAATTGCAGGTAGTCTGGGCATCTGGTATGAGCCTGTGATTACAGGTTAATCTGGGGACAATGCAGCCATTTCCATATAAAGCTATATGCTGTGTGCTGTGTATTTGGATGGTGCTTTGGTTGCATGCTTGTGTTTTTCCTCCTCAGGATTCTTTCCTGACCACCTGTAGAGGAATTTCTGTCCTTGAAGTGGTGTGCAGACAGGGACAAGTATTGCAGACTGATGCTAAACGGATCTGGTCCTGTATGGTGGGGATGCGTCCCAACTTGAGCTAGAATCTCTTGGTCTTTTTAAGATAGACTTCATGCAAGGAAGTATGATATGGGGTGAGGAAGATCAAAATACGACCAGTTGTTTGGCTTTTCTTTTTTGGGGGATAGTAAAAGTATCAAATCAATGCTATGGTATCAGACCATACTGAAATCTGAGCAAGGGTTTGATCTCACAACATACATTCATCTAATTTCCAGGGATGCAATTAAATGCCGCTCTTCTTCAAATAGATGGGTGTGAGAATTGGTTTCTGGATTTGCTCCTAAAAGCCTGGAGAAATACTGGGTAGTACACAGTCTAGTAGCTTTTGGTTAGAAATGAAGCAGAAAACTTTTTGAGAAAGTAGAGGGGGACTCCAGATTATGTCTGTGTGTGGTTCAAGTATAATTCAATTACTGATGTTGTGGTAAAAACATGATAGAAAAAAGAATTCTGGATTTTAAAAAAAATTTAGAGTTCACTTATTTCTGAAGAAGGTGGTGTAGTGCTAGTATGACCATCCAGCTATCAATTCTGGTCACATCTTTTCAGTATTTTTCAATGTGTTTTTAGGTTTCGTTAATTTTTTCCTTTTATTTTTTTTTTCCAAAGGTGCACCTAACAATTCTACATTGCCTTTGACTTCTGCCCCATCTACATGCCTGTCTTATGCAGCAGATGGAGACAGCTTGTTGAGATTAGATGCAATTTCGCATATTCAAAGTGATACTTAAAAGAAATAAAAAAGAAGAAAACACCCAATTTAATTATCTCAGTGGTGACTCCAGGTGTCTTGTTTTGAGTCTGAAAGTAAACGTCCTGTGCTGCATCCTTAAACAGAGAATAGAAATATACTTAAATGACTGAATTCAGGAAATAAACTAAGAAAATGATGATTTGAACATTGGCCTTCTTCAAAATTCTGGTTCAGAAACACCTTTTTGTGGCTGCACACCAAATTATAATTTAAGTTTTTTCAACCACATTGCATGTATTTTGGCTTTGGTGTGAACTGAGTGCTGATGAAAACCATAACTAACTTGGATGAAAGTTTGACATGTGTAGAAAGATGTATGCCTGAAAAATCACGGCTAATGAAGTAGTCCTAAGGCTGATCTCAGATTAGTCTTTGGACCAAAACAATGAGATAGACAAGAGAAACAAATTGTCCTGAGTAAGAGGCTTTCCTTGTTTTTGTTTGTTAATTCTGTAACATACTCTAAAGTCTGAATGGATGACCTAAATGTTACTGCAAATCTCGTTGTTCCAAGTCTCTGAGCAAAGGAATAAATTGATCTTAACCATTAAGTCCTGCGTTCAAGGATTTGACTTTGGATTTGTAAAGGACTTCAAGAAAGCAGTAATTATAACATGCATAGCATACAGCAATGTATGGTGTACACTGATTTCTTTGCAATCTTCATTTTGAGACCCAAACTGGCTAGTGAATTGCTAAAGTGCTTGCCTGTCCAGGTGAGGAGGGTGCATCACCAGCATCATCTTTTGTATTATTTGTGAGGCTCGTAAGAAGGAAAAAACAATCAAGTTGATATGGCAGAAACTTGTGTTTTGGTATGTAACTTGTGTGGGGAGAGGAAAAATTATGAAAAACTGAAATATTTAAAGGTACGAAAGAAAAGTTGTCAACAGTTTTAGTAATATTTTATCCTTTTTTTTCCTCTTGCAGACTTTCAAGTGCTGACCTGCTTGGTCTATTAAGTTATTATAAACTTTTGCTGCTCTGCGAACATATAAAGATGTCTCGCAGCCCTGACGCTAAGGAAGACCCTGTGGAATGCCCTCTTTGCATGGAGCCTCTGGAAATTGATGACATCAATTTCTTCCCTTGCACCTGTGGCTACCAAATCTGTCGTTTCTGTTGGCATCGTATTCGCACTGATGAGAATGGACTTTGTCCTGCTTGCAGAAAGGTAAATCCCTGGAACAGCGGCTTGTCTTGCATATTTCACAAGGCTCTTGCATTGTGTTGGTACCAAAGACATTCTTTTCCTTGAGGGAAGCAATCATCTAGTCATGGCCTAGATCAAGGGCGAGGTGTTGGATCTTTGAGATTCTGTCTGCATATGTATTGAAGCTGTTATGAAGCAGCTGGTCTTGGTTTATTAAGTTCAGAACCGGATGGATAGGGGAAGCTGTGGATAAGAAACAAGGCATGCTGATGCTGAGAGAACAGCCAAATATAAAAATCCTTTGAGCTAGGGTACTCATGCATTAACAAAGTCTTCTCAGAAAGAACAGTGAGGATTTCAGCATCAGGGTTTGCTGAGAGCTAAGGTTCAGCTAAACTGATAGAGCTCACTGAGAGGCAAGTTTATAAATCACCTGCTTGTTTTGTTTGTGGCACTGGAGCTTTTAATCCATATTTTAGTGGATACTAAATGTATAAAACCTCTGGGAAAATATCCAGTGGTGTTAAATTTTGAAGCAATTCAAAAACTAGAGTCTAGTATTCTGATCTAATTGTCAAATGCTTCAAGGTAGTACTTGATAGCTCCCTGTGTCTTGATGTCTGGCTGATTTGGTTGGCCACAACTGTAACCTCAGCTTCACTAAGTTGCCTGTTATTTTGTTTGTATTATTTTATTTCTCCTTCTAGTGTTTTTCTTAAACTCATTATTTCCTTAACTGTTTAATAAAATTCTTTTTCAGTATCTTCTTGTCTTTAATGACTTCCCTTGACTGTAACTTTCTTGCCTGGTCCTTTTCTTCTTGTAGTTGCAGCTACTTTTGTCTTCTTGTTCTCCTACCATTTAATCATGATCCTGTCCCTAGTTTATGCCTCTCTTGTCTTCCTGTCTCATGTTACAGCTTCCTTTTCAGACCCCAAGTAATCTTACTTGGTCTCACTATCTTTATTCACTGCCACAGTATTTTATAAGCACTTCCAGTCATATTTTCTTGCTGCTCTTCTGGGCTTTGGCTACACTAGAGCTGTTACTGTTCACCTGTGTTGGGATGCCTCTGCAAGCCTGAAGGCTCTCCCACAGCAACATGTTTGTTTAAAAATTCTGCAAATTTGCCGCAGTATTTGAGCTCCGTGTTCTAAAACGAAGATCCACAAATCACTCTCCACATGGGATACCTGCTGTAGATGACACATGCTGTATAGTAATTTCCCATAGTACAAGAAAATTCTACTCTTCTGATACAACATGAGGTTTCTGAGATTTCCTTGTCGCTTCGTTTTCCTGGATTTGCTACACTACGTTTTACCTGTTTGTTATTGGAAGTTTGTGAAATGTATTTGAAGAATCACAGAAGCAGTGTGCTATTCCTGTCTTTGGGAATCTGAATTCTTTGAAATATGCTGAACTCTTAAATGTGGAATACTCTGCCCTATGATTGGATGTGCAAATATTTTGCCTAATTGGATACAGTTTGCACTGAAAAACTGTTTCATGAGGAAACCTTGAATAAGTACTACCATTGGAATGAAACGTATGCCATTCCTGGAGAGAAAGGAAAAGACATCATAATTTGTAATGGACCAGGATTATGTTGATACGTTCTCCATCCATGGACTGCAAGATACTCTTGAGTGGATTTGGGGCTGTATGGCTGGATTGTAAGAGGTTGGCATGAAGAAGGCTGGCTGAGGAGGACATTTCTTCCTTGGCATAGACAAAGACATTTGTGTTCCAGAGACCATGCCAGAATCTTGGGAATAAATCATCTTGAGCTATAGAGTTGCAGCATTAAAATAATTGAAGAAGCCATCTTTTGAAGGGTGGTGGACAGAAGGAACCAGGTATGTGTATTTGTGTTCAGTGTGTCTAAGTAGTCCCTGTCTGTGCATAAGGCTTCTGGGAAAAGATCTGAGTGTTTTTCTATTCATAACTACTATGGTCTACATTGATTGTGGCGACTTAAAGTGCTGAAGCACAGACAGAACATGGCAAAACAGCAAAATTTGAGCAGGAACGTTCATAGTAGGTACAATGGTTTCAGAATCATAAGGTTGGAAGAGACCTTCAAGATCATAGAATTCAACCCAGCCCTAACAGCTCAGCTAAACCATGGCACCGAGTGCCACATCCAGTCTTTTTAAACACAGGGATGTTGTGTCCGGGGTCCAGGGATGGTGACTCCACCACCTCCTCAGGCAGACTATTCCAGTACTTTATCACCCTCTCTGTAAAAAACTTTTTCCACAAAAAAAACCCACCTGTTTCAACATATAAAATATTAAGTGTATTAAAATATAAAGAGTATACCAGTGGAGGATACTTACTGTGAAATGGACTGCGGATAAGCATATCTTAAAACAAAGACAAGTATGTTGTTTACGATTAGATAATAGAAATCTGCTATTTGTGCCAATATTATTGAATGCAGTGTGACTTAACCAGTAAATTGAGTACTAATCCATGGAGAGGAGCAGTGAACAAGTTCCCTCTCCAGGGGTTTTGGTTGAAGTGTTGGGGGAGATTTTGGAGAAGTCTGTAATAAAATAGGTTGGCTAAATGCTACAGTGCCACCTATGCCATTAGATCTTAACTGTGCATTGCATATCTTCCTAAGCTTCTTTAATTCACTTCTAACTGAAAAGATGTTAGCTTGTGGTTTTGTCTACCTTGGAGAGAGTACTTCTACATGTTTGAACTGTTATATAGCTTAACATCTGCGCATGCAGAATATGTTCATGTGTTTACAGTCAGTTGATTCAGTCTGCCTTGAGTTTCCTCCTATGAAGAATAGTACTACACAAACATTTGCTTTAGTAAGGTGCTAGTGTGAATTAAAGGTTAGAAACTGGTACTTCTTAGTATTAACATATTAAAAACTTTGTTCAAATCTTCTGAAATAGACTCGGAAAATCTATTTCTAGAGAAACAGAAGTTGTTTCTATTTAATTCATTAACTGCAAAAATATCTAATCTTGAAAAAATGGAACCATCTTGTTTTGGGTTCCTGGTGCCATTCAGAACCAGCCAATTGGAAGATACTAAGCAAAGCTTCCTTCTTAACTGTGAGTGAAATAGCTGCCAACTAGTCAAATTAGAATGAATGTATGCCGTCTTCAGAAGAGATCTCTGTAGCCAAAAGCTGGATTACAGGTCAGCAGACTTGCTGGCTGTGATTGTAACACCAGTGATTTTTATCTTTGCAATGATGTTTCTATTTTCCTTTTTGTGAAATTCACCAGTCTAGGTCCTGTTTGCCATGTGAATAATACATGCCATCTCATCTGCTTAATTAGAACGTGCCACTCTCAGCCCTTAGTGTCAGTTCCTGCACTTTTTAAGTCCAGCAACAAAAAAGCCTAACTTGTTCATGTTCATAATGACTTTGCTCTTCCAACAAATAATATAACTTGATACACAGTTGTTCCTGTAGTGTGGCTTTGGCTTTTTCTCCAGTTCCTTGACTTCAGTGACCTTTATTTCTCCTTGTGTTAGAGGTGGAGGGAAATAGTATACTGCGATGTGTATGATCAAGAAATTAACATGCTTTAAGCATGTTTTATCCATGTTTCTCCTATTACTTCTATGTAAAAGGAAGACTTAGACTTAATGCAGTCTCCAAATATCAGTGTTTCCTCCTATGCTTTTAAGCCCACAACTGAGTAGTTTGGTGCAATAATTGATATTTTGAAATAGATAGGAAATCGCCTTTCTTAAAATATAAGTATAATGGTGTATACTGTGCATAAACCTTATTGACTTCCTTTGTATTTCTTGTTTCAGGACCTATGGTGGTAGCAAGACAGCAAGTGGGAAATGTTGGTGCATCCATTGTGTGGAAGGAATGTGACCCATCTGGGAATGACAAAAGCAAAGTGCATGATAAATCAGCTCAGCTTTCAACTATTGGGAAATGGGGGGAAAAAGTCTGAAAGAAAACACACCTTAAATAACAAGACAAAATTAGGAAGACTGAGAATTCATCAAGGGCCATCTCTGATTAGAGAACCAAAGACTTCAAAAGAGACATTCAAACTTCTGCTGAAGTTCTTGTAGGGACTGCCTTGTGCTTAGTGTAAAGAAAATTTGGTCATATTCCATGATGGCACACTTGTTTGGGGAACCTCAGTGTTTTTTTCTGAAAAGTTTTGGTGTAACTTAAGTGAAAAGTATCAGCTAAACTTAGTCAATGAATCAATGATGTTGACATCTCCTAATGTCTTGCATCTGAAAATACATCAATGCTGACATCTCCTAATGTCTTGCATCTGAAAATACATCAATGCTGATAACACTTGTGGTAGCTACTTTGTTTGGATCTCAAATCCTTTGTCATCTGAGGCACTAGAGACAATATGTTAAGCAGGTGTATTGTTTAAAAAACAATAAGATGTGGGCACATCAATAGCATTTCCACCTTAGTTGTTGCAAGACCTGAGAGCTTCTGATGTGTATAGTCCTTTCTCCTGATTTGTGGAGTTAGACAGTGTAAGCAATGTACCAGATAGTACTGAGGTACACCAGCTGCAATGTACCAGATAGTACTGAGGTACACCAGCTGTCAGTCCACCTTGCTTGGCTTTCAGAGATTTTTTCCAGCAGTCTTCAGTGCACACACCTGTTGAACCTCTCAGTTGAACCATCATCCAAGTTCATGAACTTCAGCACTGTGGGAAGCAATGACTCTGAAGATGAAATAATTTGTTTTCCTATCTGTAGACTAATTTTGTCCTTTATTTGAAAGGAAAAGTATTTCTAATACTATTTTCTTAGAATTAGTTTCTGAAATGTTGATGCTGTGCTAATTTGCCTTCCACCCTCTTTAAATGTGCAATATCTTCTAATTTGTTATTATGCCACACAAGATAAATAGATAGGAAAATCATCTACCTACCTAGTTGTGTTTGGGTTATTCTTGGGATTCAAGAGATGTGTGCAGAGTCATTTACAGGTTCTGCAAATCAGGATATCAGACTAGTTCTATTCCTTGGGAGCATTATAAGCATGTCATATGAGTGATATATATATATATACAAAACATGTATTTAATAGAGATCTACAGTATCTAGTGAGAACTCTGGAAGATTTGAGTGCTCAAACAAGTGTGGCTGTCCACAGTGGCAAACCAATTACTGCTGCTACTTAATGATTGAAATGCCTGTTCTGCTAGCCTCAAGCTTTCTGCTGAGATGGAGAAATTTCTCTTCCGCTGATTCTAAAGCTGCTGTCTAGTTGTGTTCCTACTAGAAGTTTTTATGCTTTCCTGTAGAAATACAAACTACTGTTTGGACATATAAATGTTCTGTTCAGGGTTATACTTGAGATACCCAGGATGTTTCCTGATTCATGTACAGGACGTCCAGCAGCAAATAGCTGTACAGAGAGGAAATATCCCATCTGACTTGCTACTTAATTGAGAATATGCTCTGAATGTGGCTCTACTTGGCAAGAAAGAAGCTGATGAATTTTGGCAGTTTGCTGTAGTTTCCTTGGACCTTCAGGAGCCTTACTGAACCTACTGAAAACCATTAATGCATTTCTTGCACAGTACCAGAGAGCAGCACTCTTGCAAGTTTTTCCTTGTGTTGTATGGGATGTGGAGTAGGACTTAATGTTTGAAATAATGGATTGTAGATATGATAGGACATCATTTGATGTAGGGCAAGCCATATATTTGGAACTATATCTGTTATACTGGTGCACTTTTCTTCCCATTCCTACCTTAACTCACTGAATTAACTCACTCTTTTCCCTTACTAGTCTTTCTTTCCTATAAAAACCAAATGTTTTTATTGTTTAGTTTACATGATTGACTAATACAGATTTTGAGAAGCTCATTAAGTGTAAAATTATTCTGCGTCTCAGAAGCCCTCGTATGTAGATGTGTTAAAATACGAGATAATAATTGGCTATAGCAAATCTCCAGTGACCTTAGTAGTAGTTGGTCATTGGTGTTCTTCGAGTACATTCTAAAATCTGTATGTCATATTCAGTGTTAACTCTGAGTAATACATCTGTTTGAGAAATGTTATGGTTTTGAGTGTTCTTCAAGGGTAACTTGAGTCCTTGTTGTGTTTTCATGTTAAGGACATCTTTGGCTACTGCTAAAGTATCTTACACATTTAAATTCCCTTGTGATACTAAAACATGTTCCAGAGGACTTGATGTTTGACTGTGAGATGCCATCTGCTCAAGTAAACTGTAGCATATTTTCAGAAGATACCTCACTTGTAGCATAACGATGCTGAATTTTAAACTGAATAATGGATCTTGATTTGTTTGAGGATGTACTCAGGAGATTATCAAGTCTGAGCACATGGTGGCTCTTTGAGTAACACTATGCAGCTATGAGGAAGATATGCTTTTAACCTAAGCATTTTCATCTGCTGTAGTTTTTTCTCAGGTTATTTAGTATGACAACTAGTTTTGTACTCTTGTCATTAACACAGGACAGTCAGGAAAAAGTTAAATACTTTTTTGTTGGACTTTTCACACCGAAACCTTTGGTTACGGTAGTACAAGCAAGGACCTTAGCTCAGCATACTGGTGAGCTTGAGCTTAGCTTCTGTCTTTGTCGTAATTCACATTTTCTGTGTTCTTCTCATTTTTTACTTCTTGATGTTCAGAAATTCTTCTTTTTGTTTGAAATATGTTTTGTTGGCTTGTTTTTGTGCTTGCATTGCTTTCTGTGTGCAGTATGAAATCTGACTTTTCAGTCTGAAAAAACTGGGACAGGTAAGGAATGTGGGACTGCTTTGCAGAGTAATCTAGGGCAGAGAACAGTGCACTGTAGTCTTCAAGACCCAGCTAAAACAGTGCCTTTATAGCATGAATAGAGCAGTCCTTCTAGGTAACTCTGCAGATACTTGTACTTCTGTTACATACTTTTGAGATTAAATATACAGTGTTATATCTGTGTTTGAGAAGTTACCTGTAGGAGGGAGAGACCAAATTTCAAGCTGATACATAAGCATGGCAAGAATACTGTTAAGTCAGCATGCATTAATTGTGTTGAAATCTGTCTAGAAATTAACCATGTAAAGTTTGAGTAGTATCATGGTGTTACTGTCTTGAACGTAGTGGACCACTGAAACTACATTTGTATTTTGATTTCTTATCTCAGTCTTGAGTACATTTAAGTACCCAGATCTGTATCAGACAATACGTATGAAGTACATGCTTTCATCCTACTTACATGAAGCTCTTGTTAGTGAAATTTATAATACACTGTGTTGGCTGTCATGTTGCAGCTGCTTGTAATGTTACCAAATTGACTAAGCAGCTTGGTTAGAATGTGGTTGTTGCCCAAATCAATATTATGTCCATAAATAGAAGAATTCCATGAAAATAAGCAAGATGTTTATCTTTCCCAAAGGACTGAATATGCCTCTATAATGTGGGTTGCCATAATAATCAGATTAGTATAAAAAATAAATTTTTTGTATTAAGACATGGCAATTAATGGTTTTTCAAAGGTGTTGTTTCTTATATGGGTTGGTTTTAATGCTGTTTGTTATGTTTAGCCATATCCAGAAGATCCAGCAGTGTACAAACCACTCTCCCAGGAAGAGCTGCAGAGGATAAAAAATGAAAAGAAACAGAAACAAAATGAGAGGAAACAGAAGATATCAGAGAATCGCAAACATTTGGCCAGTGTACGGGTTGTACAGAAGAACCTTGTCTTCGTGGTAGGGCTATCTCAACGCCTAGCAGATCCAGAGGTGAGTAGTCCACACTTGCAGATCTTGCTTTTAACTTGCTGCCATGAAACATTGAAATACCCTTGTGTCTCCCTCAAGGGTACAAAATGAAGCAGTGTTGAAAAGGTTTGCTGCCATGAGGCCCCCTCCTCTTTCTTAAGGGACCTTAGCTTCCTCCTCCATAATAACCTCAATAAGTGGTTGTCTCTGTTTTAGGGATTTTGGGGTGGGGGGAATTGGATTACAAAGGATTGATATATACTATCAACAAACCTGTAGGGACAGAAGAAAAAAGCCAACACTTGGAAGTATATACTAGGATAAGGATTGTCATTAAGAAGTTGTGGGGAAAAAGTAAGAGGAAGACCCTGGAAAAAGTTGACTTACAACTCTACATCATCAAAAATAAGGTTTTCATTTGAGAAAACTGATTGTTTAAAATGCTTTATTTACTTCCATCATCAGTTGTAGCTGCAGGTGGCCAATGGAGTAAGTGCTAATGCACAAAAGTATCTTTAATTAGAATATGGAGGAAACGTACTACAGGATAAGGTAGATGTCTTCAAAATTACAGTGCCAGATTAAATTCACTTTATCAGACTACATTATCTAAAAAAGTCTCAAACAGAAATGGCTGTTTCTGCGGTCTCAGAGTATGGTCAGTATTTTGGTAGACTGGTAAAGAACAAATGTAAAAAGCTGCTTTTAGTGAAGGAGAAAAAACAGAAGGATAAGAAGGGAAGAGGAAAAAAATCAAGTTAAAACTGAACTGGTGTATAACACTTCAGTATGTACTAAAATATAGCAGCAAGTATTTGCAAGCAGCTGTCAGCACTGGCTTGGGGCTATTTATCATTGAAAAATGCAATATGAATTTATTATTGAAATTTTATTTCTTTGACCAGATGGAGGATTTGTAATTAAAAGAAATAGTAGTAAATATGTTTTTTTTATTTATTTTAAAACCTCATATAATTTTACACTGAATACTTGAAGTAACTAGGAATGGGTTTATTTGGTGGGTGGGGATGTGATGTACTAGATATATTGGTAGCAGTATTCTCAACGACATACCAGAAAATAAAGTGTACTTACTGAATGCTACATATAGCACAAGGTGACTTGATTAAGAAACCTAGCCTAGGAGAGATGAGTTAAAAAAGTATACAATGCATTCAAGCTTTCTACTTAAGCAGGCAAAAAACTTCTTCATAAATTGAGATTATTTGGAATGAGAGTTTGGCTTCTATGTGCTGTTTCTAGAAATAGGTCTATGGATCATAATGTAGTACAGGTGGATCCTCTACTGTTGACATGCTCTTAGAGTTGTGAAGGTTGTGCTGTCATATTGTACCAGGAGTATGATCTGCAGTATGCTTGGGTAAAAGGGTAGTTTCTTTAGGATTGTCACTCTCTTCTGGAATGATGCCTGGAGGGTGGGTGTAGTATGTTTCAAGAGGGCATGTAGACCAAGTGAAGAGCAGTCAGAAGAGATCAGTGAATCACTGGTTCTCTATACAACACACCCCGTAGTTCTTTGGGATGTTCCAGGTGTGATGCTGTTAGTTCTTGAAGGCATTGAGGTTCACTTGGGAAGGGAGAAGGGGTACTTCACTTCTTGGATCCGTACAGTTTAACTGCACTATCCAGTGCTACTATGAAGATGGAGCAGGGGAAGAAAAACTTCCTTTATATCCTCTCAGGTTATTATCTAGAACCAGAAATGCCCTTATTTAGTCTAGCTTTAGTAGTCAGTATTTTTGCACCTTCTTCCATCAGAGAAATTGGAAGAAAAAAAAAGTCTTTTGATATAAATGTGTCAACTATATTGCCAATTTAATTGGTACACAGGTAATAGTTATTCAGCAGAGTTGTTTAATATGCTGGTGATGTTCTTGCTTTGCACAGGGTCCCTAAATGATGTGTTAGTACTAACTGATTCCAGCAAGGGCAAGATGAGTGTTTTTCCTCCTTTCCAGATGTGATAGACACTCATTCATTTCAATATGATGTCGATTCCAAAATGTTTTTTTTGTCCTTGGAAATTTTCCTTTATTGTTTTCCTTTACTTAGTCTGTTCTTTGGAAAACTTGAGCTTATCTTGAGCTGATTGGTTTACTCCCTTTTTCTTTGGAGTGTGGGGCATGGCAGTCAGGATTCAGCATTTTGTACCTAGTAATTAATATAGCTGAATTCAAATTTAAAGTGTATGGTTATTTGGGAATGAGAATGAATGTGATTTTTATTTTTTTAAATCAAATTATAAAACAGATATATGCAGGAATGTTGTCTGCTGAATGGGATATTTTTTGCCAGGGTGGGATTTGGGTAATCAGAATATTGAAAGATTTTTTTAAAATACAACATGAAATGTGGGGTATTTGTCATTAAAGTTCTGCAGTGACAACATACTTTGTATTGCGAGTAACAATGTTTTTATGTGGAAAAACAAATCTAAATCTTTGTGCTCTTCTTTTAGGAAAGACATGGTTTTTGTTAGTCAAAGGCTTTAGCTGCATAGTTTTACAGAATAAGTACACCTCTGTATGAATTATAAGTACACCACTTGAACTTTCTTTTTTTGTAGGTTTTGAAACGACCAGAATATTTTGGGAAGTTCGGTAAAATACATAAAGTTGTCATTAATAACAGCACATCATATGCAGGCTCACAGGTAAGTCAGAGGTCTTTGTAATTTTTTTTATTTCAATTCCTTTAGAGAATACATGTGTGCAGAGTGAATCTAGGGCTCCCTATTTCTGATTAAGTAACAGGTAAGAGTGTAAAAAGGAAAAAAGGCCTTGCAAGAATCAAATTACTGTTAAGTTACTGAGGCATTTTCCAACCAGACTCTCAAAGCTGGATGCAAAATGCAATGTAGAAAGATTGAAAATTGGGAGACAGGATGAGAAACTTTAAAGAAGCAGCAATATGGCATTAGTCACTAATCGGTATTTTGGGGATAAGATGCCTTTTAAGTATTTTTAGAACATTCATGCAACATACTGATGCATTTCCTCTTTCCTTCGTTCTTTATGCATCACTCACATGAGTTTTTATGGCTTCTGCCTTTTTTGGCAGTTGTTTGTTAAAAATGTCAAGCCCTTGAATATACCAGTTTATGAAGTGAGCAGCTAAAAAGGTGACTTGATGATCAGATCTGTCTGGGGAAAGAAAAGTAAGTAAATAGTGTGTGTTTTCTTCCTAGGGTCCAAGTGCCAGTGCATATGTAACCTACATCCGGTCAGAAGATGCCCTCAGAGCCATACAGTGTGTCAATAATGTGGTGGTAGACGGAAGAACACTTAAGGTGGGGTAATAGTTTTATGTTCTTGCAGATATGTTCTAGAACACTAATGTCAGGGATTAATATACAGTTTTGTTTGTATGGGTATGCTTGTATTGCTGAACAAGAATGTCCAATTCATTGGCTTTTGACTTATTTTCCTGCTATTAATCTCAAAATGGAAGTTCAGTGAGCATCCAGCAGGCAGTGTTTTGGTGGGTTAGCAGATGACTTCTTAAGACAAAGTCTGAGTCAAAGATATCTACCTCCTCACTGTGCTCACAGTGGCTTTTTTATTGTATAGCATAAATAGTACAGTGTGAAAACCCGCTGTTTGCTTTTACAGAACATTTCTGTAGTCCATATTCCACACCTCTCAAAAGCTCTCTGGGAAATCAGAAAATTTTCCTTGTGGTGCCTGTTCAGGCTGATTTGACCAAATTGGTGGCTAGAGAAGATCTAGTTAGTATTAATTTCCTGACCCTGCCACTTATCCTCCTTATGATTATGCAGATATTTACTGAGGCTCTTACTTAGGCATTTATTTAGATTGGGTGAAAATAAGAATGCATCCTAATTATCTAATCCCCAAGAATATATAGATATCTCACAAATGGACTTTTTATTCCATCTGCATCAAAAATGCATTATGATGGAATTTCAAATCCTGAGGTAATTTTTTTAAAATATAACTTTTTTTTTATCTTATATGGTTAAAGGCACTCTTAACATCCAGTACTTTATTTTTTTTTCCTTCAGGCATCATTAGGTACTTTTTTTTCCTTCAGGCATCATTAGGTACAACAAAATATTGCAGTTATTTTCTAAAAAATATGCAGTGTCCAAAACCAGACTGCATGTATCTACATGAACTAGGTGATGAAGCAGCCAGTTTCACAAAAGAAGAAATGCAGGTAAGTGTAGTGAATGGGAAACACATGAAATGTGGCATGTTTGTCTTACTGTGTCTGATTTAGTTTAATATGTGTAATGTGTTTGCTGAATGTTATGGCAGCGATGAAATTTGAAAGGTGATTAACCAATAGGATATTGCAAAGAAGATTTAGTTCAGTTTTTTTAATTGTATGCTGATTTTAAAGTCTGAGATGGAGATGAGATGGAGATAAAAATGATGGATCCAAAAAGATGGAGATAAACTCTTAGCTGAGAATTCAAACAACCTGAGCTAACTACTTTCCCTTTTTTCATACTAGTAAAAAAAAGTAAGGTAGTGTCATTTTAGATTTCTGTGAACAAAGTCAGTGCAGATCTGGGTTTTAATGTAAAATTGGTGTGTGTGGACAGTTATCAAGGATTGACTCTCGTGCTTGTGACTGACCATGCTGTCTGAACCCCGGTAACTCTTCCAGCCTGTGAAGCGTTTAGAAACCATTTGCAAATAAAATGTTGAGGGTAACTATAATAGCACATGAGTAATGATGCTGGGATTTTATTTTTTTTTACTATCTCAACATCAAAATGCTTATTGTCTAGGGTAGGGAACCAAGTAAATGGATAGCTTTACTGTCTCAGATGGGATGCATTCTGAGGTCTTGTGGTCTGCCTCCCTCCTTCTGGATGAGGTATGGTAAAGCTTTTAAACTCAAGTATGCCAGCCTTGCATCCATGCTGCAATTTTTGCATGTGTCCATGAAGCAGAGGGTCCCCACCCTCAGTGCCAGCACAAATGTTGTTCTAGTAGAATTTTTATGTGTTAGGCTGATGTAAGTCAGAGAATAAAGAACACCCGTATCTATTACTTTGTTACTAAATGCTTTCCACAAATTATTTCTGAGGATTTCAGTAGTTAACTGCAATAGAAGGAGAAATTCAAGAACAAGTTGCAAAGCAGGCCACTTTTCCTGTTAGTTTCCCTGTATTTCTCCCACCGTCTAGATCCGTTACATATACATGTTTGACAATATGTTCCTGTCTAGTCTTTTTAGTTTTTTTATAAGCCTGTCAACCATGAATTTATTTAATCCATTTTGAACCTGTCGATAATGCCAACCCCTTAGTCTTTTGTGGCAGAAAGCCCCAGAAATTCACTAGCTGTTTTGTCAAGTGCTTTCTTTTGCATGTGTTAAACTGCTAACCAGTTTGTTTTGTCAAGTGTGCCTTAATCTTAGCTTTGTAGTGCTTGCTTAAAGCAAAACCCCTTACTTTATTCATTGCCTTTGTAAGGTGGCAAAGCTTGATCTAGTCTCTCCTGGCTTTCTCTCCAAATCATAGTTTCTGGTCTTTTAAACTTCTTTTTAAAGCAGTTGCTCCATCTCTGCAGTAATATGTTGCCCTTCTCTATATTTTCTAGCTGTGTCCTCCTTGAGATGCAGAGCTCAGATGCATGATATGAGGGAAGCCAAGTTTAATTTATTGGTTCATGTTGTGCGATATGTGCTTTTTTTCATTTTGTTTTAGTTTATTTGAAGTGGCCTTCTTAGTGATGGCCAGCACATCATTTGTGGCTAGTGCATAATCAGCTAACAGTTTCAGAGGTCTGCTGGCAGTAACCTCAGCATCTTTTTTCTGAACCATAACAGCCAGTTCACAGATAAGGAGTGGATTACTATCGTCTAGACTGCTTTTTCCTTCTTATGTTGTCTGACATGTCCATGTTGAAGCTTATTTTCCACCATTTGCTTGTTTGCCTATTTTTCTGGGATTCTTTTTGAGCTCCTTATTAATGTGGCAGTTTATTACCCAAAAAACTTATTATTGTCAGCAAAGAACTTGGTCCTCAGTCTTTCCTTGTGCATGCTGATGGTGTTGCAAAGAACTGATGCTAGTCATCAGTTCTTATTGCTTGCTTCTGCACCCTTAAAGTTATACTTTGAACTATCTTCAATTCAAACTGTCTTCCATGGCAGATTAATAAATATCTTCTTTTAAAATTTTGTGGAGTCTCTTTATTTATGCTTATTGACTCTATAAAGAATTGATGTTAGTGAAGCAGAGTTTCCCTTTACAAAAGATACTCAAGATTCAATCCCAGTGCTTTGTGTTTATCCGTGAATTTCTATTGTTAAAAATTGTTACCGTTATTATTATTATTGCTACCCTGTAATCTTTGGAAGGATGGAGGTTTACTTAGCAGTTGTAGTTCATAGAATCTTTTCTGCAGCCCTTTTCAGAGAAGTCAGTGGCAAGCTGTCAGTCCTCTGGCTTGACTGTTAGTTAAAATTGATAGGCTACATACCTTGGTTGGGATTTAATTTTCGTGTATGAGTTTCTTCAGAAGTCTTGAGTAGATTTTACATCATCTTGGTGACTTGAATCTTCCTTCCCTGTTCCTTGTTATAATGCTTAAACTTTTTTTGAATTTCTCATTGCTTTCTTAAACGTAGTTGAAAATTATGCACCTGTTAGGTACATTGTTCTTTCAGTGTGCCAGCTTTCCTGCAATAGGGTTAGTGTCAGTGAATTTCCAGGTCCATTTAATGAGATTGAATGTTCATGGTTGCAGACTTTGTATTTAAAAAAAATTGTCAGTGGATGAATTTGCATTCTAGGTTAAATGATTAATAGATCTAAATGTTGTGGCAAACTAAAAAGAATTAATAGAACTCCAGGAAGTCTCTGAAAGTGAAACTGGGAATTCAAGGTGGGTTGGAGATGCTGAGTTTGGCCTCTGGTTTGTCTGTTATAAATAAAACACAATTACTGCAAGCTCCCTTATAGGATTTTGATCTTGTTTCTTTCTTGCATTTGTGTGGCAAGTAAATGAACTTAAGACTGACCCCGATGTACCTGGCCATGATATTCAGTCTTTAGTCACTGAAGCAAGTTGAAAGATCCAGAGAGGTTTCTTCTTACTTAGCTGCTTAATGTTTGAAAATCATTACTTGTGCAAATCTGTGCATCAACCTAGTTGCTACAGTCTTAGTTGGATGGTGAAAGAAGCATTTCCAGGGTGCAGAATATCTCAAGGTTTGCATTTAGGTGAGCCATACTGTAGAACCACACTTTTTCCTACTACAGGTAGCAGCTTGAGTGTAGACACTGACAAAGTGAGTAAGATGATGCATACACCGGATGTTTCAGTCCTTCATGAGAGGTGGTATAAGTTGACTGCATAAGAACATGTTCAGAATCAAACAGCAATGGAGAACTGGAGAATTTAATAGGAAAATAATGGAGGCATTAATAGGGTTTGACCTGAAGTATTCCAGTGAGATATGCAGTTGGCCTTCTACAGGTACGCATAAGGGATTGTAGTTTATCAGCAGTACTATTTTTTGTATTTTGTCTATTCATGTGTAATATTTTCTTGAAGAAACAAGTTACATTTTTCTTTCAGGTTGTAAAATTTTTCTAGGGTTGTGTCCACATTGCCTGTGCACTAAATTCCGTTCTTGTTCCAACAAAACATTAAGGAATTAATTAATGTAAGAAAAAAGTTAAATTTTGTGTGTACAAGTAGTGTGAGAGCTTCTAAATCAATAATGAAGATGTGATAGATAATAAATTTGGTGTTTCAGATTTAAGATTTAGAAGACCGGACCATAAATTTTGGCACTTGTTTCCTTTGCTGGACATCTTCTAGTATTTGGAAACTGTAGAGAAAAGCTATTGACAACTTCAAATTCACTGTTTTATTTTGTATTTTGATTCAACTCATAATGCTTAACTTGCAAGTAGTAATTCTTAGGTTGGAGTGTCATAACAGCCTACAAAAGCTATGAATCCTCATCTTGAATTTCAGATGTTATCTTAAATGCTGGGGGTAGGAGTAGATCTTGCTGGGCTTTTTTTATAAATTAAGCCACAATGTTATCTGCAAGCTAGACTAAAAAATACTCTCTTCCTTTCATTTTCCAAATTCTAGTACTCTGGAGTTGGATTGGACCTCCACAATTTCTGAAAGCAAGAAGTTGTTCTCAGTCAATTTAATTAGCTGAAAGAATATTTCCATTTTTTAGTTATTAAAAAGAATGATTTATCAGTTATTGCTTAGAATATACTGCTTGTCATGTCATACACCTCAGCTGTTTTATTAAGCCAATATAAAATTACTTTCATTTTGGAAGAACTTCTTGTTTAAAAGGAACTTTTTGTTCCTTCCTGTTGCTGAAAAGCTTAGTATGGTTGAAATATGAAATGCAGACTGCCTTCAGAGATATCAGAGATCTGTTTGTGGTTTCTAATGGTGTATTTGTGAAGCTCTTGATTAAAACGAGGACCAAGTTACAATAGGGTTATTGGTGCTTTTCTGCTTTAGAGGTCTCAAAAAAATTGTAAATAGGTAGGTACATCCAAATGATTTCTACGCAAGTTTTAGAACCATTGAGATTACATCTATACTGAGAGTGAGAAGCACTGTTTTGAGTTTGACAGGGTGATCTGTTAAGTTGTAAATGCTAAATTACTAAGCTTTGGGACATACCATATATATATATATGGGCATATTAAATATATATATAAAAATTTGTAACTATAAATATATATATATTAAACCATTATTCATTCATTGTGGGTTTCTCTTTCCTTAGGCGGGTAAGCACCAGGAATACGAACAGAAACTACTGCAAGAATTATACAAACTAAACCCCAACTTTCTCCAATTATCTACGGGTACAGTTGACAAGAATAAGAACAAAGTGACAGCACTGCAGAGGTAGGATGCATAAGTACTGATGCTGGACTGCCTGGTTATTTTTTCTGGTTATTCCAAAGGAAACTTGTATTCCTATTTGATTCCCCAAATTGCCTACTGTTTTTAGTACCTATTATATGATAAAATCTGATAGGTTTTCTGTGTGGATAGACATATTGTTCAGGAGCGATATTCTCCAATTTAATGTTCCCTCTGAAGCCACTCCACACTCCTCCCCCTTGCCCTCTCCTGTATCAGGCAGGAGAGGAGAACTGGAGGCACAGAAGGTAAAGATCTGAACAATTTACTGGAAACAGCAGTGAAATAAGAAAACAAACAGCAACAGCAACAATACAAATGACACTGGGTATAAGAGTCAAATCATTCACAGGTGATTTCTCACCCCACAATGAAGGGTGATCCCCCAGCAGCCCTGACCACTTCTTCTGCTAGGCTATGCTGACCCATAAGAGAGTCCTTCCCCAGTCCCCAGAAAATTACTTAAGGTGGTATAGAATTGATACCTCTTTGTCCTTGCCATGCCCCTTCCTGTCCAGTGCAACAATTAACACTGTCCTGGCTGGAACCAGGACACATGCACCACTTTGTTCCAAAACAGTGGGTGTCTTAGGAATGAAACATGTTTCTACATTTGAATCGGTAGTTTGGAAGTTTGTATTTTATATTTGCAAAACCAAATGTATTTTTTAAAGACCAGATGTCTACTTCTTGGTATGGTGTCATTATAAATGCAGTCTGTATTTTTATTACTGAGAAACCTCATGACCTTAATACGGTTTTTTACATCATAATTTATGGTGTTGTCCATATATTCTTTACTATATTGTAATTGCACATATCACTTACTGTGGCTTGCTAAAATAATGTTCTGTTGAGGTAGTTTGTTCAATAAGTTGTGAAAATGTTTCTATCCATATGAGTATATAGTCACACAAAGATAAATGAAAGTCTCTGGTTACCAGTCCTTAATTATTCATTCAAATGTCATATTTAAGATAAAGAAATAAAAACTGCTTACAATTTCTTCCACTCCTTTTTGTAGGAGTTTGATAAAGGAGATGGGCAGAGCAAAACGTGAAAGTTAGATTTCACTTCATATGTACCTTGGCCTTGTATTCAGGGTTTGTGTTGTGTGCCAGTTCATGCACTACTGAATTTTTCAGACAGTAGTTTGCCAGTGGAAGCATCACTGCACAGCCCTCTAAGCAAGAAAGTGGGTCCTGTATCTAAAATACTGTCAATGTATCTTGAATGAGCAGAATACAATTCTGAGAACTGGTATTCTAGCTGGTATACTGGGACTATTTTCTTGAATTTCTGGAGGCAGTTTCATATGCACTTTGACTGTAAGTGGCCAGGACTTCCAGAGGGATCTTTTTTTCTTAAGGACAGAGTTGCTTCTTATTTCTCAGGCACTGGTTCAATATTGACTTCAAAGGTAAAGTACAGCAAGCAAAACAAATACACCACTTCTTGAATTTGGTATTGATTATTTTATGTTTGAAATTTGAACTAATTTTAATTTGAAACCTTATTAGATCCTAGCAAACAAATTATACCAGTGCGGGAAGAATGCGCTATCTAAAACTGCACCAAACTTTTAAGCTTTTTAGAAGCAATTAGGAGTTGGAGCTTGGCCAGTTTGTGGTGCTAACATTTAACACTTATGGAAAAAATGGCATGTTACTGTAACGGCAGCAAGTGGTAATTTTTGGAGGTAATTTCTCTTGTCAGTTGAACAGCTTAATCACAGCTTGGACTCTGTTCTTTGTTAATGCCTAGGTACCACCTTTAGGGTTGCAAAGTGCATTTCTTGCAGCTGGGATTTTGACATGTTTCATCAAGACCCATCTCATCAGTACAAAATGTAGCTTTTACACCAGTGAATGCACATTGTTCTTTCACAGTTTCTACCCAGCTGGGTTCTTGTAAGATTTTTTTCATAGGATTCATTGATACAATATTCATATTTTTAGTAGTTTGTCACAACTTCTGGCAAGTCTGAAATGCTTCTTGTGTTTTTGGGGTGCAGAATATCTGTTTCATAATGGAGTAGAACAGAGGTTGAGTTCTAAGTAGTAGGTGCTTAATTAGAAATACCCAGTAGTAGAAAACAGTTTGTTAAACTCTGGTGTTTTTCTACAGTTGTTTTAATTTGAAAGGTCCTACTTGCAGACCTTTTATTCTTGCTGAAGGCAACTCTTAAAATCCCCTAGGGCCATTTTGTGTACTCATCTCTTAGTATGTTACTTGATAATCATGGTGACTATGTTCTTTTAAAATTGGAGTTATATTCCAGATTTAAAATGGATCAAGCTTTTTTATTTTCTTGATGACATTTTTCTGAAGAACTGAAAGTTTCTTCAGAAACTGAAAAAAGACTAAGTTTTCTTATGCTACAAGAAGAGCCAATTATTAAGCATGTGCTGATCTTTTAGAGAACAGCCCTTCAGAGACATGCAGCCTGAACTTAACTGAAATAAAAACCCACCCCACACACTCAAAACCCCCCACCTGAAAACATAAACTAATTTGTTTCTCTTTCCCTTTCTCCTTGGATGCAAAACTGACTTTTAACTGGCATTTTGAAGTTGGTTTTGGTATAGAGATGGCTTTGCTGTGTAATGAACATAAATTTAGATATTTATAACAAATCTGTTAATGGAATGACAGTTTTGATATATCTGGATTTCAGTTCATTTTTGTACAAGTGAGACTATTAAATGACAGATATGCTGCTGCTGTCTCTTCGTTTCCCTGATGTTCTGTATCTAATCCACTCACCAGCTCTAACTTAATCTAAATGTGTGCAAAGCCGAGATCTGTAAATTGATCAAGTACCCATCTATGTACATATTGTATAGGTAGTTGAGAAAAGATGGATACAGAATAACAAATCTTAAAATACTGAGATTTGAGTGGAGCTACTAATTTTATCTGAACAGAACTAGGAAACGTTTGTGTTGCTATAAGCAGTTACTGAAATTTCCAGATTGTGACGGTAAAGTTAGAAAATTGACCTAAAGATGCAGAGTAAGTGTTGGACCATGTAATAGGAGCATACTAACGTAGGGGAACAGCAGGAAGGGCACATGTTAAAAAGTTTTATTGGTGAAAGCTGCTTCCTTAGGAAGACAGGTCTTGGGACACTAAAACTTCTCTTAAGAGAAGCAAATAAAAAGCTACAAGTAATGTAGAAGAACTTGAGAACACAAAAGCAGATCTTCTATAATAAGATTGCAGGGGGTTAGCAGACAACACTGTATTTAAATCTGTTTGGTTATAGACTATATTCCATTTTGCTTAAATTTGTACAGAATGTAACTATTTACAACAGAACCTTGGGCTTTGAATCCTCTCTTGAACTTTTTTCAGTTCTAATGTGCACTATAAAATGAAATTTAATATTTCTTTATAAAAGGGAAGTAATTATGGCTTTAAACTAGAAATGAGGGGAGCAGTAACTTGAACAGTGTGTTGGTCTGGCTGATCTCATTGTCTGTTAGTAAAGCTGTGGACTCCTGTGTAGATTTAAAGCATAAAACTTCATCTGTTGTGGCCAGGCTTGATAGAAACTGGAGTATAAAGCATGCATTAAAAAAAGAATGACTTAGCTCATGACTTAAAGAACTTAAAAATAGTTCTGGGCTATAGAAAGTAATTCTAAATGAGGTATGCAGGGGTCTGGACACTTGAACTATTGATGGCGTTTTTAATTTTTATTTACCTTTTTTTACTCTCCCTCAAATGGGCAAGTTTGGACTTTAGGACTGGCAAAGCAGCTATCTACTCAGGAAAGAAAACAGAATTACCTCTGGTTTTCTCTACCCTGCCTATCCCACTAATTATTTTTTTTAAGTCATCACCATTTAAATCTGAAAAATAATATCCAGATAAATCTATTCTTATGGATTGTCTGGCACAAGGATTTATTTCCCCAGTGTTTACAATTTTTAAAACACTTTCTTCATAACTTGAACTCTTCTATTTTTTTTTTTTTTTATTTTACTCTTGCCTTTTTCCAGACCCAACAGTAATAACAAAGATGCCTGGCCATCATTACAGAGTTCAAGTAAATCAGCCAACGGTTTAACAATGGAACACAGGAAAACGCCTCCTATATTAGAAAATGGCACAGACCCAGAACACATGACTCCAGATGGTGCAGACTCAGATTTCGGGTAATTGTGCTGCCTTTTATACTTCAGATAGCTTGCTTTCTCTCTCACTGATTGGTGTGGAGGGAATGATTCTTCAGTCTCTCTGGATGGAGAGCTGGATACAAACCTTGATCAGGTCACAAAAAGCTGGGCTTAGTGTAGCCCATGTTAAAAACACTGATTGGCAGACTCTGCAGGAGTCAAACATGAAGTTTGTAAGTGACAGTACAGCTAATGGCCGAGGGGAACAGAAAAATTGGGATCAGCAGCTTGTACAGCTGCACAGTCCCAGTCAGAGCTGAGCCCTTCCTTTTTTTCTGTGCAGAAGCTTCCACAAAACTTACATGCTATTTGCTGTACATCAGGAGGCTTGTCACTTGGAAAAGCTTCAGTAGAGAGAAGTTAAATGTTAGGGCTAAAATACCTGTCATTTCCTTACAGTGCTGTGTTCCAGAAGCACGGCACAGAGGAAAGGGTTCCCCAATTACTACTCAGAGGGACAACAGGGCAGCAGATTCAACTGAGGCTTCTTTGTGTAGAGGAAGTAATTCATCTTCTTAAAATAATCACTTATTGCCAGGCAACATTTTTTCTTTTTTGGTGCCCTTCTTTAATAGAACTGGTGTCCTCTTCCAGTCAGTGATGTATGCATCACTTACAGTCTTAGTCTGTAGTCTGGTTTGTTCTTTACAGACCACTTTAGGTAATAAATGTTAGGCTCATTCAGAGGTTGGATGGGAAAAAAGCTGCTGATTAGGCAGCCAATCTTCATTTTAAATCAATATTGAACCAATGCATTAAAATGGAGAGTGTTGTTGAAAGTGGTACCTTCTTGTTAGGCTAAATAGCAATCCAATTGAGGAGCAATCAGAGAGCCTGTGAATTACAGCTCAGTAGTGATGTGCAATTCTTCTTTTTTCTAAAAAGAATGTATTTAATGTAAATAAAAATATTGTAGTCAATAGATAATGAGCCTTATTCATTCCTGAGGGCTGGAACTCTGTCTTTCAAATAAAGACTCCTTAGGCAGGTTCAAGTATAATAAACATTTTCATCATTTAAATTGTCAATAAAAGTTGTGTTGCTCATACCTTTTTAAACTGCAGTATTGTGACTGTTAGCCCTGTAAGAAAAGAATTTAACTGGAATATCAGCTCTTCAATCAGAATTGATTGTGTAATGAAGAGTCTACAGCAAACTTCTGTGCTATAGGTATTTAGAAATTACTAACCAAAAGCAGTATGTTTCAAATGGAAGAGATTTATTCACACCGTTGGATCACTAAGTAGTTGTAAATCTTCACTGGAATAACAGAGTGATTTTTCTTTTATAGTCATAAATATTTCAGCTTAATTTATCTGTTTGAGATACTGACTCAATCAGTGCTCTTTTTTCACAAAAAAAAATGTATTGATGATTAGTCTTACACAGTTTCTTTAAGAATGGAGAAGTAATTTTGCTGGGTTTCAGTTAGTCATTTTGGGGTGAGAGGAAACATTGCAAGTGGAACAAATCTTATGAACTGATCTTACTTTATGGCTATATGCAGTAATTAAACTTTTCAGCAGCAGGGGCTGTTCAAAAACAAGGTGTATCTAGAATCTGAAGTCTGCACCCATTTAAAAGAAAATTGTTACATATATTTTTCAACATCATGGCTATAATTTGATTTGTATCACATTGTGGCCTCTTTGTGGAAGTTCATGTTCTTACTTCTGATGCTTATTTGTAAAATCTGTGTACTGGCCTGTGCAGCCTGATGCTTCTGCATCTTTTCTCATTGGTAGATGAAAATGAGAGTACCTTGAAGTTGCAAAGCAAAGATTTTAGTGTGAACTTCAATAATGCCATTTCATTAGTTCTGTGTTTAGCATGATTGAGGCAACTCACAAATGCCCATAAGAATCTTGAAACCTGAGATGGGCCATTTCAGCCAAGTCACAATAATTTACAGAGAATGGCTTTCTGAGGTGTTTCTTTGCAGTATTTTATTCTCATTTTTGGCAGATTTTTTATGCTATGTTTTTCCCCCCTTCTGTCATCTCAAACCTCATTTTTTTTTAACTTGGGACTAGTATTTGTCAGTTAAAATCTTAAAGGCTGGTGGGAAGCTTAACTTGCCACCAAGACTAAATGTTAATTTAATGTTTTATTTCTCCCAGATTTATTTATGATTTGTACAGAAACTGAAAAGTTGTGTTTGGAAAATAAATCTTTTGAAGTTTCTTTACAGTAGTAAAGTAGATGGAACTGACTGTTACAGAATGCTGTCATAGTATAGAGTTCTGGGGTTTTGTATGGCATAGAGTTGTTATGAACATGTTCAAAACTTTTCTTTTGTTCCTTTAGGTGGTCAGCAAGCAGAACAGAGAATGGTGAAAAGTATTACAAAATATGACAAATGATTGGAATGCTTGTGATTAAAATAGCAGTCTCATAAAAAATAAGTGTACTTTTTTCCTTCTTAATTCCTACTTCTTAATTTTTGTCTTTATTTTAAGGCTTTTCTTCCACTACAAAAGAAAATGTTGATTTTTCATGTTAAGTACTTGGGTCTCTTACTGTCTTTTTCCCTCCCACTTTTGCAGCCCTATCGATAAACCTTCAGATTCCCTCAGTATAGGAAATGGTGACAGCTCTCAGCAGGTAAGGCACAAAGATAAGTGCTCTGAAAGTAACAAGTGAGTTTGAGGATTTAGTGCAACTTTCAGTTGGAGAAGCAAGCATTTTCTGAAGTGTATCATAATTGGGCATTGGGATGGGCTGTCTGGGAGGTAGTGGAGTCTCCATATCTGGAGGTGTTTAAGAAAAGACTGGATGTGGCACTTAGTGCCATGGTCTGGTTGACAAGGTTGTGTTTAGTCATAGGTTGGACATCATGATTTCAAAGGTTTTTTTCTACTCTAGTTGATTCTGTGATGATTTTAAACAAAATTTAGAAATGCTATTGCTAAGTTGATTTTTTGTTTGACCTTGTGCTGAGCTATATATTAACAAACCTAATTGTGGCCAGAAGTTTTGAGGAAACTTTTCTTCTGAGTTAGTGAAGAATGTTTAATACATCAACTCATGTCCTAATTTTTTTCTTTCTCTCTTGCTTGTAGATAACAAACAGTGACACACCTTCACCACCACCTGGTTTAACAAAACCCAATCCAGTTATACCCATCAGTTCATCTAATCACAGTGCACGGTCTCCTTTTGAAGGGGCTGTAACAGAATCACAGTCACTCTTCTCTGACAACTTCCGACACCCCAACCCCATCCCTAGTGGGCTTCCTCCATTCCCCAGCTCTCCACAGACTTCAAGTGACTGGCCCACAGCACCAGAACCACAGAGCCTCTTCACATCAGGTACATCCACAGCTTACATGGCTGGGTATTGCTTGCTTTTGTAGTTGCTAAAAACTTGTACAGAGTTGTATAGAGATTAAAACTCTGTAGAACCTAAAACTCTAGGATTTGTTCCATACTGTGTTTTTCCCCCTTACAAATACTTAAAATTGTCCCTTAACTGCAGATGAATTGCACAGACCAAAGGGTTGTTTCTTAAAGAAACTTTGCAGAGCTTTCAAGCTGCATGGCTAAATTATCGGAGTGCTTATTTTAGTTTTTCCTAGAAACATGCATAGGATGTGACATATATACTTTAATATTTAGTGTTAAAGGTTTTTATTGAGAGTGGGGAAAATACATGGTATTAGTGTATATTGGTGTGATAATTTGTAATGCTAATATCAGGAGCTGTTCTGTAGAATTCAGAATTTTCTTAGTATCCTGCGTGGTTACCTGAAAGCATCTAATCTTCCTGAGATGAGATTCTATAAACTCAGAAGAGTTATGTTTCATTTCGTCAGCTGAAAGATACCTTTTACCTTGTAAAAAAAATACCTTGTATTTTTCAGTTACTCCCCTATGAAATATGTTGTCATATGCATGAATCATAGTTTTAGTTGTAATTATATAGTCTTGGGAATGGTTAACAGTATTTAAGAGCTCACAAATTTTAAGTCTGAGGAAATTGTTAGAAAACTAAATGAAAAAATACCAGTTAAAAAATGAATGTAAATAATATGATATAGTTGGTTTACTTAGTGATTATTCATCTTCTGATGTTGATCTTTTTCCTGAATATCATAATTCTGTTTGTAAACAATATTTATTGCCAAGGAAATTCCTTTCTGCTAAGGCACTTGATGCACCAATTTTGTGAGGATTAAGTAGCAGTGAGAGAATTTCCAGGCACTAGAGATCATAGTTAACATAAAGTATATTGTTGCTGTTTAAATAAGAATGCAAAGGACAAGTTCTTCTTGGCCTAGCAACTCTTTATCTATCATCATGGATTTTAGAGTGAAAATAGAAGCATAGATTTCTTCTCTGAGAGGATACTGAACCTTCTTAAGAAGCAGACCAGGTCCCTACCAGCAGAGGGAGTTGATGTTGCAAGTGATGCTAGCCTGAACTTAGCAGCTTGCTTGACCACAATTTTGAAGAAAAATAATGTGAAGATAGACCAGTATTCACTGAACTTGAATAACAAACTTAATAAAATAATGAAAAGAAGTAGTAACTGAAAATGAAGACAAATTCTGATAACTTTTTTTGCAACACTGCCTGAAAATATTTAACAGTATCTTGTAATGCAGTTCCCTTTTTTTATCATTGTATCTCAAAAATCCAGCTTGTTTCTCTTCATAATGGTAGACAGTAGGGGATTTTTTGTGGGTTTTGTTTCTTTGTTGATTTTGGTTTTGTTTTTTGAACTACTGCTCTGAGGTTCTCTCTTTTGAGAGGGAGCATCCTGCTTGTCTTTTTTGCATAGCATTAATAGTGAAAGCAAAATATTGAACTGAGTAACAAACTTACTTAAACTCTGCTTGTTCACACTTCCATGAAGTAATATGGGGTAAAGAAGGGCAAGTGGGACTACTCCTGAAAATACTTTCTGGATAAGGCTTTTCTGTAGTTCAGGAACAGAGCAACTGTGCAGTAAAAATGTTATTTGCTACTTCTAACACTTCACCTTTAGTAGTAGTCTATGACAGTTTGATCTGAAAATGGCATTCTAAGCTGATGAATAAGGTGTCTTTGGGGAACGTATGAAGCAGTATTGCATGAAAGATAAAAGACCACAGACTGAAATTTTTAAATGGGAAAATGATTTCTAATTCTTGTTCTAAATCCTGTTCCTTTCTTCTTCCAACAGAAACTATACCAGTATCCTCCTCCACAGACTGGCAAGCAGCTTTTGGGTTTGGTTCCTCCAAACAGCAAGAGGACGACTTAGGGTTTGATCCCTTTGACATCACCCGCAAAGCCTTAGCAGACCTGATTGAGAAGGAACTGTCAGTCCAAGACCAACCTTCCCTTTCGCCCACATCTCTTCAGAACCCTACCCCACACACTACAACTGCCAAAGGGCCAGGTTCTGGATTCCTGCATCCTGCTGCACCCACAAATGCCAACTCTCTCAGTAGCACCTTTCCAGTCATGCCACAGAGGTTTCCACAGTTTCAACAGCATCGAGCAGTTTACAACTCCTTCAGTTTTCCAGGCCAAGCAGCTCGCTATCCTTGGATGGCCTTCCCACGCAATAGCATCATGCACTTGAACCACACAGCAAATCCCACCTCAAATAGTAATTTCTTGGACTTGAATCTCCCACCACAACACAGCACAGGTCTGGGAGGGATCCCTATATCAGGTAGGTGAATAGGGACGGAAGTGAATATGACTTAATTCATGCTCTCAGCTTCTCTGAGTCAGAACAGGAAAAAGAAATAGCCAGCAACAAGCAGTAGACTGTTATTTTTTGACTGTCATACTAGGTTATGAATAGAGAGAGGAATATTGTTTTAAATAGGTCCTTTGTATTAAAAAAATAAAAAGTAACTGGATATTTAGCCTTGTAAATATTGAGCTTTATAAGGAAGGTGGAGTATTATGTGCCCGCTTAATTTTGTGCCAAAGCAGATTGGTATTTTGGTTCTTCAGTCTTGCCAGACTGGCTTTACTTAAGAATAGGCCCTGGAAGTGCATTGTGACTTTCATGTTGGCATGCAGGTGTTGACCACAGTTCTTAAAGTCATGCAAAAAATTGTAATGATGGTAATTTGTGCCACGTGTCTTGGCTGGGTTGTTCCCTCTTGCGCACAACCGAATGGCTACACAATAAAACATTCAGTGCTGTTCATTTCTGTACTTCAGATGGCCTTAATATTATGCTAATCTTCACTGAATGGATGCTTGCAATGTGTGTAAGAGGATTCATCCTGATTCTGAGAATTGTGATGGTGGAGAAAAAGAAATGTGCAGTCAGGCCAGTTTAGGCTGCCTGGAGAGGATTAACAGGCTCTTGCATCAAACATTACAACTAAGGAGCTAATTGTAATAATAATTGTCTTGATTAAAAATTCACTTCTGGGGTTTGAAGTCCTTCCATAGTTCCAATTTAGCTCGTCCCAAACAAATTCTCTTCTTGTAACAGGGGAAAATATTGTATTACATGGATAATGAACTGCAGGTAGAAAGTCACTGTTAGCTCTTTGTAGCCTTGAGGTGGAGAAAACTGCTCCTTGACATGTTGCCAGCATTATTTTCTTTTCATGGGTTCTAGATGGACTAGCTTTACTACAAGTGACCTAGGAAAAGTTAGTGGTTTTTTTGATGCTCTAGTACAAGAACTAATTTTGGCTGTTACTTCGCTCTACTTTGTCCTCTTTGAAGGCTTGTTGCAGCTGTCGTACTGCTGTAAGGTCTTTAGGCTGATTCAAGTATAAACATGGTCCATAGTACAAATATTAGTTCAAAACTCTTTATATTGGCAGTTGAAAAGTTTTAAGCCTAAAATGACTGATCCTGGTTGCACAAATTGTTTCTAGCATGAAGTAACAAAAGTACAGCATCCACAGTTGCATTGTTGCTCCCTTTCCCCTCAACTATCCAGAACTTTCAGAAAAACAACAAAACATCACTTTTCAACTCTACCACTCAATTGTAAAACTTCTGCTTGGAGGGGTCAGTAATAAGGCTATCTTATGGCCTGGGGGACCAGGAAAATCCTTTAGTGTTGAAAAAGATCTATTCATAATACTGGCTGATTCTAGGTTTGCAAAAGTACTGCGTTATTTTTAGTTAGCATGTTGGAAGTGGAACTTTTTGTGTCTGTAGAAGACTTGTATATCTTTCAACTTCTGACGAGCAGGTTGTGTGGTACTGGTTGATGCAGAGCCCAGGCCATATAGTTCCCAATATGTTTTAAGGTAATAGAATTGATATTTATGTCCTTTTTTTGTGTGCAACTTCTACAACCAATTACTCTAAAAATATTTTTAGCAAATACCATGTTAAAACCAAAATAAACATATGCTGTAGTAACCGTGGGAAGTTCCTTTGCATTGGTTTTAATCTCTTGTAATAGAAAACATTGTTAGTTGACTGGCTGACAATTAGATAGCAGTTGCTGCAGTGCAAACACTTCTCAGCTGATGTACGTCAGCTTTGATATGTCTTGAAAAAAGAGTAATTTGTACAAGGACAGATTGCTCCTTTTTCCGCTGCCAGAAATCAACTGAAGTCTCAGTTCTGGTTTAGTTTGCTGGGTTATGGGTTTGTATTATTTATATTTATTTTAGTATTCTAACTGCTTCTGAAGTACAAATAATTTGAATGTCAGGAGATGACCTCATAGCTCTTTTCTTGTGTGCTGACTTAATAGTTTCCAATTTATTGATTATTCTTTTTTTTTTTTTAATCTGCATCTACAGTACAGATCTCGCAGTTAATCCCTTTTATATTCTGTTTGAAAAACTATTTCTTGTTCTTTGTTTGCTTTTAATCTATCAGAAGCAAGTATTTAATTACAGAATTTCCTAGTTTCATCATGTAATTTACAGATAACATCTGTCTGGTGGAGCTGGGGAAAGAAAGTGGTGTCCAAGTATAGGGAACTCACTTGTTTAAGACTATTAAAATAGCTTATAAATAGCCTAGCTGACCTTCTAGAAAGGCAGTGCATATCATAACAGCTGTTTAGCAGTATGGAAGTTAGCTGTAGTACACCTGAAGTTCCTTTTTCTTGGCTCTTGTTAGTCTATATTCGAGTGTTTTAGTAAATGTTACCAACTTGGCTGGTTCAGATGTAACAGGAAAAGAAACCAGTGCAGGTGGAACTCAACTTTCTGTCTTGTAGCTGAGACCCTCTACTGTGGTAAAAGCTGCATGTTTCTTAAGGTCTTTGATCACAGTTTTTTACAGGATTATGAATTCCGTAAGTAGCTAATACTGGACCAGTTACTGTGTTCACCAGTTTGTTGCTGCTGAAAAACAAAAGCAATATGAGAACAGGCACATTAGTCTGTGTCTGCCTGCTCTATTTAATCAACCCTTTTGAAGCTTTTTATTTATGTCAAAACAAGCAGATCTGATAACTTGTATAAATTCATACATTAGTATAGTATTTTCTAGGCTTTCTAAATTCACTAGGTGTATTTGTGGTATGGAAGCTCATATTAAGAAAATGGTATCTTTCAAACTGCTGCTGTTTCTGCTTTAGGTGTTATTATTCACATGAATTTGAAATGCTCATGTGTGACATGTTAAATGTGATTGGCTGGAACTGCCTTTTGTTTATTTGAGAATCAGAGCTGTGCTGTAAGCTCACAGCTTCAGGCAGGGCTGTTCTGTGATGTGTACTCAATTTAAATGGAGGAACACAGGCACTACCTACATTTATTTATTTATTTTTAATTAAATTCTCATTTAAAAATAATTTCTATGTGGAATTTGGTTGCTTATTTCTCAGAGGAGGTATTATTTATTAACTAATTGTACAGTTTCTAGTGAAATGACACAATGGCACATGATTGACTTCATAGATTTATTATGCATGTACTTGAAATGTCATATTCATCAGGCATACGTTTGTCCCCAACCCATATTTAAATGAACTTTTTGATTGATTACCAAAGTAACTTCTTTTTTTTCCTTCCCCCACTGTATCATTTTTCAAACTGTAGCAGTTATTTCACGTTGTCATTTTCAGGGACAATTTAAGCTTACTGCTGCTCTCTGCAGTGGGCTTGATTAGATGGCTTACTGTGAAATTATAAATGTATAACAGTGCTTCAGGAGTAAAGTTCAGTGACTTCTTCATTGACAGTGTAATTGTTGCTACAAGCAATCTTACCCTAGATTGTTAGCAAGCTGTCCTAAGAATATTGGCCAGCAGCTATGCTTTGTTCTGCAGAGAGAAAGGTTGATATACTGACAGCAGTGTGGGTGGGTGTGTGCCTTTATTTTTATTTTACTATAGGATAACAGGAAACTCTTTGTTATTTGATAGCTAGTACGCTATCATCTTTGCTACCCTACTGCCTGGTGGTGTATTCAAAAATAATAGGTATAGTATGAGATCTGTGAAGGTAGGATTCAGATTAACAGTGTTTGGAGACAGATGCTTACCAAATGAGATGTATGCATGTTAATTTGAAAATAGAAATACATAGTTTTATTTCTTGAATTTACTGAGTGGTTGGTAGTCATTGATTTTGTTACATAGAAATATAGTAACGAACTCACATTGTTAAAACTATTAGGAAAAAGTTGAAAATGGTTAATCCACTTTCCCCATGAGTTCATTTTGAAGGCATTTTGAAACACTGGCTATTACTTCATTTATTAATTTCATAATTACCCTGAATGTAAAACTTAATTGTAAGCTCTCTGTAGTCCATAATAATGAGGTAGTTCAAACTCTACCAAGACTACTCCTACCCAATATGTTCTTCCCAAAGAAATAATTGAAACCCCTGATTTGGAGGGGACCCAGAAGGATCATCAAGTCCAATTTCTGACTCTGCACAGGGCAGCCTAAAAATTAAATCATATGTCTCAAAGCATTGTCCAAATCTTTGTTGAACAGAGGCAATTTATGTATATCTCATATATATTAAAAATCTAAATAGAGGTAAGAATCGAGTGGACACAGATATGAAGTGTAAAGAATTAAACCCCATTTAGGTTGGGAAAAAAAGGTTTTATTCATCATCTTTGTAGATAACCATTGTGAAGTTTGAGATATTTTAACCATTCAGCTGACTGATACAGAGCTGCTGTAGGTTTCTGTGAGCTGTTCCTGATATTTCAAAACATGGGGTTGAATGTAATAAGTCTGTGTAATAGAATATAATGAAGAATCAAAATTTTGTTCTTTCAAGACCTTTTAGTTTTGATGTTGTGGCTTACATCTGTTGAATATGTGCATCCTTACTGATATTATATACATCTAAAGGTGAGACAATAAATGGGTAGACAGCTCTATTAATTTTGGGTATCCCCCAGCAGTGTCTGTGGTAGTGGTGTTGCATTCCTTATCCAGACAGACTAGCATGCATGTTTTCATGTCATGGCTGCGTTTAGGTTTTTGTGAAGCAGTAGCTGGTAGCAGAGAGAACAAAGCAATGACAGTTTTATTAAGAAGGTCCAACATCTTCCCTCTTATTTTAAGGACTGAGCTCTTCCATTTCTGAACAATTTATGGTGTTGCATTTTCTGCTGCTTTAAGTTTTCTAGCCTCTATGCCCCCAGCCATTGAACTTGTCTTGAACACGAAATCCTTTCTTGTCTAATGCTACCTTTTGGACAAGATTTAGTAAAACAAGGGAAGATCCCTTTATGTTGGCTGTGGTCATATTATTTAAAGAC